CTCGGCGGGGGGTCCGTCCCCAGCCGGTCGCTCGGGTCTTCCGGCCGTGCGCCCGTCGCCGCTGCCGGACCGCTGCGCCGCGCCGCGCCTCGCCGCGCCCCTTCCCCGGCATCAGCGCCCTCCCCAGAGAGCTGCTGGGCCTTCGTCTGACGCGTCCGGAGGAGGACGGCGCGAGCGAGACTCTGGGTCGGCCTGTCGACGGCCCTGCGGTCCGTTTCCTCGGCTGCCCGGCTCTTCTGGGCCTCTTCCCCGACGCCGAAGTCCAGACGCGTCAGCGCGCTTCCTCTCCCTTCGCAGTCTTCGGAGTCCGCCTTTCGCTTCCGCAGAGCCACGGCTTGCACGGCTCTGAAGGTACGGCGTGTGAATGTCTTTCCCAGGGCCTCCATGGCCCTCTACCGAGTGCCACTCTGCAGCACGTTTCTTGGCTGCTGGTTCCTTTCCTATTGAAGGTTGACCCTAAAAGGCAGAAGGTCTCCACCGCTTGGATATCTTCATCGTCAGTTCTAAAGCTGGATGTTCTGTCTGATGTCAGTAGTTTATATTTAATTTTAGTCCCATTTTTTCACTTTGCTCCTTGACTTTTATTACCAGAGCTTGCAGATCCTTTGCATTTTGGGCTATCAGGGTAGTATCATCATCATAGCATGGTTATTGACGTTTCTTCTTATAACTTTAAAACCATGCTGATCTTCTTCCAATCCAGGTTCTCTCAATATATATTCAGCATATAAATTGAATACATAAGGGGAGAGTTGCACTCATTTGGCACATAATGTGCTATTTGTCCAGCTAGAAAACTATTTTAGAACATCATTTTTAACGTAACCTGTGCAAATGCTTTGCAGTGCAGACCTGCACACGGCTGCTCAGAGGTATGCCCAATTAAATGGCGTGGGACTTGTTCCTCAGGAAGCACAGATAGAATTGCAGTTTTATACCAGGTGGACTGTGGATATATTCAAAATACCCCAGTGGCTGCATTGTGGACAAGGGAGCCTCTGTTATCCTAGGCCACAGATTGTAGTTTTTGCCCTCAAAACAGAGGAGCAAAAAAAATGAAAACCACAGAACTAGTAACTGAAAAACGAGTAGTGCCTTTTAGACAGACACAGTCTGCATTACATAATGAGAGCCAGTTAAGTGTAGTGGCTAAGATGCTGGGCTAGAAACAGGGAGACGTTGAATTTTATCCTCCCTTAGGCATGGAAGCTGGCTGGGCAACTTCAGGCCAGTCTCTCTCTCT